GGGGGAAGGTAGCTGCTTTTGCAGGGTTTAAGCTAATAGTGTGCATAGCAGCTTTATATAAGGAGAAGGTAACTTTGATGCTTTTTAAATGTGTATTAGAATGTATTTATATTTGTTAAATGTGTGCCAACACAAATAAAAAACATGAACTTTAAGTAGCTACTTTATTTTCCCTTGAACTGGAATTGTTTGGTTTTTTTTTTTAACATGTTTTGCTAGCTGTTCATTTTCTAACTACTTTTCAGTTGATGGTCCAGAAGTTTGCCAGAAAAACTCAGAGCACTTTCTCTAATCACATTACTGATGGAACGACCCATGTCATAATGAAAACAGGTTTGTTGGGAGTGATGTGAATAAACCCCATATTTACACAAGTAAAAAAGCTAGACTAACAACTAACCAACAAGAAGCTGGTTTGGCAATAAATTTAAATAAGTTAAGGGAGATGATTTTTTGTGTATTTACTTTTGGGTATACAAATCTATAATTCACAGAATCAGTGAAGGAGTGGTTTGTTTCTTTGTGTGCTTTTAAAAACTTGCCAAAAAAAAATATTTTGAGCACAATCTGAATGCGGGCATGCTATATTCTGTTATAGAAGCACTTCTGGATGGCTCATGTTTGGATGCAAACTCACTTGAGCGAGCCATTACTGCTCTCAAAAACTAACATAAAAAGGGAGCCAGAAAGTCCTGTTATTCTTCATAAATGGAATTATTTTTGTGTCTTTTCTCCACGTATCATAAATAGCATGACCGCATGGTTTAGGAGAGCAACATTGTTCTGCCTTTGTACAAATACAGATGGGATGAACTGCCTTCTGAAAGTTGTACCAGTCTCAGTAGAGCAGAAGAGGAGCCTAGACAGCTAGCCATATAAATGTTTATTCTAATGTAAGGCACTGAATCCTCAGTTAGTATCCTGTGTTGTGGCAGTATTTGTGCGTTTCTTTGCCTTTCATCTGTACTGATTAGCTAAAAAAGGTGCTAGAACTTCTGAGCCTTTCTGGTCTGTAGTCTTGCTACTTCCCTTGCCTTGCTTAGCAAGATTATTTTGCTTTTAGGTACAAACTATCTGAAGTGCTTTTCACTTGTGGCAAAACTGAAAGATTGCTTTGCTCTTTTTTGCTCTGCAGATGAGGAGCTGGTATGTGAACGGACATTGAAGTATTTCCTGGGTATCGCAGGAAGAAAATGGGTAGTTAGTTACCAGTGTGAGTATAAGTTATTTTGAAGAAAAGTAGTCTCTGCCCTTCTACTACAAATGTACTCTCCTGTTGTTCCAAGTAAAACATATGTATATCTTTTCCTATCTTAAATGTGTTAGCATATTCAAAACAACACAACAGTAAGATCAAGCTTCTTTCTCTTCTGAATGTTTCGTTTTCTTCTCTTAAATAGCCACTTTGGATTCTTCTTTTCCCTGCCAATGGCCTTTTCTCCCTCTTAATTTAAATCTGAGTTGCTTGGTATCAAATTTTGCTGGATAAAATGATTCTGTTCTGATCTTTTTTATTTAGGGATAATTCAGTCTTTTAAAGAAGGCAGGATACTGGATGAGGTAAGGTTTTTTTTGTTTGTTTTTAATTTGAGTGAAATGTCAGGTATGTAAATTATGTTTTTACATTGAAGCAATTGGTAATCTCAAATGTTGCCTAGGCATTTAATACATGAAAACTCAGCTGTGAAAACTGAAATTCTAGTTTTACCAGAAGTCGTATTTTAATTATAGGTATTCAGTGTTGCTGAATACATAATGGGTCTCTATTATTTTTGGAACAGCTTATAGGCACTTTTTTTAATAAGCGTTCCTATTGATGGATTACAGAATGGAGGAAAAGATCTACTGTCTGCCCAAACTAATAGCTATACATAGCTATAGATGTGCCTTTATAAATCTTTCATTAAACTTTGTAGAAGGCGATTACTGAAAACTTGTTCCGGTATTTAGTACATTTCCTAGAAGAAACTGCGTATTTGTTACGGTACCATTTAAGGGGATTTTTTTGTGTGTGTGTTTCTGGGTAGTGATTGGATTTTTTTTTTTTTATTCTTCAAGTACAGATTTTTGGGGAATGTTGGATTAATGACACAATACAGATTTTATGTATATTTAACAAGCAGAAATGCCCCCTTTCTGAACTGAAATCCATACACTCAGAAATATCTCAGCCAAAAGGGATATCAAAATCCTTCTCTGCCTGGGAAGAAAGGGGAAGTTGCTGCATAAATGACTGAGCGCTGTTAACCTTGTCACAAATTTTCACGTTGCTTTGAGCAATGGGAAGACCCTACAATTATAATGAAATCAATTGTGGGATTTTTTGTTTGTTGTTTTCAAGTTAAAATAGACATCTATTCCTCAATCTGTTAGAATAGGCTACGCGGAAGTTCTGGAGAAGACTGGAGTGGAAAATAGTTTATTATAGAGTCAGGTATAGGCCTGAAATTATCAAATACTGCACTGTATTTGTTGTTAATCTATATGCTAAGTGAATGCCTTGAAATAAAATAGGTGTTGAAGTTTAAATATGTGCAGATAGCAATCAGTATAGATCCTTCATTTTTCTTTTTTTTTTTTTTTTAATCAAATGAGACTTTCCTGATAAACTTTAGTTTTGGAATTTGTTGTTTCTATACTGTTTGCTGTATTTCTGTATCATTTGACTGATATCATATATGATTCTTTAGTAATTGTAGGATGCTGCAGAAGTTCCATTACTGCTATCTATTATTCTTTCTTGAAAACACTTAGAATCAAGTATATGAAGAAAAGTAAAAATTTCCAGTTCTGCAATTTTAACTTTCTCCTGTTCTACCCAGAACTCTGACCAGGAAAGCCTTCTCAGTCTCTGACATAAAGTTGCTTGCTTATGTTATGTTCCAGGAGAACTTTGAAGTTAAAGGAGATGTAATCAATGGCAGAAACCACCAGGGTCCTAAGAGGGCTAGGCAATCTCTCACTGAAAAGGTATGAGCATATCAGGAAAGAAAATCCTATCTGGCCATGACTGTTCAAGGTATGTTGCAGCCTGCCTATCTGTAACGTTTTCCAGTTCCTTATATATGGAGCTGTACAAGTAGAATGTATTTTCAATGCCACTGGTAGAGCTCACCTTTCATGTATGAAAGTGACCTTCTGCGCTTAGAGTGGATGATATCTTTTTATAAAATTAGTATACAACAGCACAAGCTTGACTTTTTTGTTTTTGTTTTTTTTTGTTTGTTTGTTTTATAATGTGCAAAACAAAAGAATTTCACGAAAAAATCTTCAGTTAAGCTTTGTGAAACAGTGCCTGGATCTTTAACCAGTTCTGGACGTGCAGTGAAACAAGCACGGTATAAGTGTTGTCCTGTAAATATATTGTATGTGTATTCTATTAACACATTCCTTGTTTTTCAGATCTTTAAAGACTTCGAGATCTGCTGCTATGGACCTTTCACTGATATGACTGCAGGTATGTAGTTTTGGTGAAACTGAAAATCTCATTATTGAAATATTTATTTAAAATATAAAAATGTGAAGGAAGACTTTCTGCATTCACTGAGTTTTACGTTTGACCTCTTGGATACTCTTGTTCTTCCTTTATCCTGATAATTCCAAAGCACTTACTCAGGATATAGATAGAACAGAAACAATGTTCCCCTCATTTTGGGAATCCCCAGCAGGTGCATCAGGAAAATGCTCAGGTGGTTCTCCTGTACTTCAAAACAGGCCTCTTATCTCGCTTTTAGTAGAGCACTGTATTAAGACAGTTTATCTATCTTTTGTTGTTTTGTTTTGCTTTGTTTTTCCTCTTCCAGGACATTTAGAGTGGATAGTGGAGCTTTGTGGTGCCTCTGTAGTGAAACAACTTCATCTGTTCACGCACAAAGTAGTAAGTGTTAAAGGAATGTTGTGCTTAGTTACAGACCATTCACCATGTTAATTAATGTACATGTTGAACGGTTAAGTGGTCTTCATGGGTTTGTCAAAGATGAATCCAAGTATTCTGTGCTGGCCAGATAACTAATCTCTATGGAAATCCACACTGAAGCTTCTTGCACTGGAAAGTGAAACTTTAGTTCCTTAACCTTAGGCACAGCATTCTTGGAGAAAAATAATGAAGGGGAAAAAAAACTTATGTTCTCTTTCCACCACCTCTTGAAGTCCACTCAGGTGATGAAGCAGAGTCAGCCCAGTTATCACTCTGCCACTCACCGATGACAGGTGAGAGAGTCATTTAAAAACAGATAGATAACAGTAGCATTTTTATTTTCTTATCTTGAAATCCTAGAATTCTACTGCTGTTGTTGTTGTGCAGCCAGATGCTTGGATGGAAGGCACAAGCTATGAAGGTAAAACTACTTGTCATGGATTGTTTCATGGTACACGTTGAGTGTCTCAGTATCACCTCAGAGTTTTTAATAGTTAAATATCAGAGAGGTTTGTAGAGGAATGGAAATAAAACACTACTACTTGTGAAGGCAGAGGTAAGCTATGTTATTTCAAGAATCAGTCTTATAAGGTGGTTATGTCAGACAGTCTCATAGCTTGTTGTAACAATATGTAAATGTGATTCTGTTGTATGTATGCTGTAGGCTTGGTTGTCCTGCTTGTTATTGACTTTATGGAAACCATTCTGACTGCTAAAAGCTCATGAAAGGTGGAAAAGCTTGTTATTAGAAGATTAGTAAGATCTAGTAGAAAGTCTTGGATGGGACAACATTCTCTTGGTCCGGAAAGAATATACAGTTACTGTATGGCAACTGCTGAGTCACGGCCTGAACCTCTGATTGATCACCTGAGATGAGCCATGAGTCAGCCAGAGGAGCACAGGTGAAGGCAATTCACCTGTGCTACCAGAAGGGGTGGAGCCAGGCTCCACCCCTCCTGGACCTATTTAAGAGCTGGCTACCAGAGGGGAAGGATCTCTCTTCTGGAGATCCTCCTCTTTGATATCTTCTAGTGAGCTCAACCCAAGGGTAAGCTCTTCTACTTATTCTCTTTTGTGATCCCTGTTTGCTTTGCCTTACTCTTTTGATTATATTGCAATTATAACATCTTGGTTATACACTTTGCCTTACTCTTTTGATTATATTGCAATTATAACATCTTGGTTATACAGTTACCAAGCACTAACTGATATCTGGAGTGAAGAGGCTTTTCCAAGAAGCAGCCATGAGATTTTTGAAAGTGCAAGTGTTTCAGACTTCACTTTTAAAATGGGATGGTGGGAGTTGTGGGATGAATGGAAGCTAGTGAGCAATAAAACAATGGAGCAGGAAAGTAATGTTGCAAATACAACAACTGTTTCAATGGTACTGGCAAAAGAGAAAATCAAGACCCTGAAACAGTAACAGGATGGGAACACCTCATTAATTTTTCTGTTGCTTCTCTTACGGAGATCATGTGGTCCGTATACCTGAGTAGACAGGAACAGAGCCTCTGTCACTAGGTCCTAAATTCAAGGATAATGAGGACTGCAGTCTCTGATTTTTAATGTTTATCCTGTGTTGTTCCAAACTTCCTGCCAGGCCACTTGCCGAGCTTCTATTCTGTATGGAGCAGCAATACAGCCTGCACTGTTAAAAGGAATAGTAGTGTCACATTGTTGTTTTTAGAATCTTGTTTTTTATCAAGGCTCTTAAGGTGTCAAAGCATATAGTTCACTGTGGAAGATATCAGTAAGCTCGCTTTAAATTTGCATAATTTATAATTGTTTTATCCTTTGTTTTTGTCTTGCAGCAATCCAGCAAAAGAACAATGTTGCCGTGGTGACTCGAGAGTGGGTGTTAGACAGCGTTGCTTGCTTTGAGTGTCAGGAGTTGGACACTTACCTTGTGTCCTGAGACTGATCTGCAGTTCTTTTTCTGTTGCACAATTACTCAAGTATTAAGAACTATGGATTTCTAAGCAACAAGCAGAGATTATGTGCTTGTAGTAGTCTTTTTCAGAGTTAATAAGTACATATTTATTAACAATGAAAATACTTAAGTAACATCACTGTATAAATTACCACCTTTGTTGCCTTCTTGTTCTTTAAAGATTAACATTTCTAATCTCAAAATAGTCCTTTAAAATTCATGTAAAGTAAATCAAAAAGGTTAGAACCTAAATGGGGGGGGGGGGGGAATGAATCTAGAATATGGCCTCCTCAGAGAAACAGCAATGCATTATTTACCATCCCAGCCAGTTCCTGTCTATGTATTTAAGGACATCCTGGAGGCATACTTATTTACAAGAGTAATACTGGGCTTAGGTTGAATTAAAATATACTTGCATTCCTGAATAATCTTCATATCTTCATTTTGCCTAAATACGTACCCTGAATAAGGATATGTGTATTTCAATATGAAGAAACACTATTTTGTGGTTACCAGTACATGAATAATCTTAGGCTGTGGACTACAGCCGTTATGAAAACTATAAACAGCACTCCTGTTGTAGGACACTTTGATAACAGTTTAAACTATGTGATCACACAAGTGGGCTATACAACTTGTACTTGATTCCTATTACAAACCAATTCTTAAAACAGCAAGCCTATGCCATTGTTCTGTTGCTCTTCTGAGTGTATGTGGCAACAAGGAAGAAATGATAAATAGAGGCACTTTATCCTAGTGACTTACAATAAGCTCTGTAAGAATCTGTTTCTAGTAGTCCCTGTCTGCAGAATGAGACTGCAAAGAAGATATATTGCTTTTTATGGAAGAAAATATGTTGCTTCTTTGTTTCCAAGCAGTTCAACTTCATAAATAGTTCTGTACCTTCAGAACCTGTTTCATGAAGTTGTTTAAAAAAAACAAAACAAAACAAAAAAAAAAAAAAAAAAAAAACAAAAAAAAAAACTTACAGATAAGTTGAGATCATCATTTGGTTCTTGAATAGTATTAGATTATTTTTTAATCTTACATAAAATATGTTTATAAATGTTGCAGCGTTAAAATTGATTTTGGCAAGTGTCTCCCTTATTCACGTAAGAGCAGAACAAATCAGACATTTACAAAATGTCTGAAATCCAGCCTCATGCAGAGGGACATGTAGAGGCAAAATCTGCGTTCTTGACATCAAGCTCAGGCTATGAATTGATAGGAGCCTAGGTGCATTGGAGTGATGGTTCACTGTATATGAGGTTTTCAAGACAACTTGAGGGTGAGACAATTGACTTAGTGTTTTATGACCAGGGTGAAAAAGGACTAACTACAAGCTGTGCTGGGGCTCTCTTGCTGCCTCTTCACCAGAACAAATGAGTTAAATATTGCTGTGCAGCTGCCCTACCTTACCAGAGAAACTGTCAACAAACTATGTGTGCAAAGAAAGCTGTCCAGAACTTACTTTCTAATACATGAGAATGGAATCATGGTTGAAATTCATGTATGTTAATAAAGTATGACTCTGTCTTGCATTGTTATTGGCCATGCTTATGTGAGAGGCAGCAGCGAGTAAGGAGCCTATTACTAATTCAGACTGTCCTTTACATTTTGCTGCTAGGCAGCAAGAATTTATGCAGTGACAGAATCCACTCAGGTTACATTAATGTGGCTGGAATAAATGTGTAATTGCTATTTGCTCCATAGCTGTTGTGGAGCCTGCAGACTGAAGCAATAGGGAGAGGGTCTGGGGCCTGTAGGGGGTAATTAAGCATCACAGTAAAAAAAATTGCTCAGTAGTTGTTCAAAGCTCTTTGCATTTGGTAATATTGAATTTTGATGCTGGATTCTAATGCTCTTCAAAGGGAATTTCTGGCTGTTAAGAGAACAAAGCAGCAGATTTCTTCCTGAAATTTTGAATTTAAAATGCTTGTGCAGTGCCTCTAATGCTTTTCTCCTTACCGTACCAGGTGTTTTACATGGAGAGAGGTGAGACTCAGCCATATTGATGCTACTTTTATTTTTTTTCCTCTTTTCTTGCTCAGAACTCTAAAATGCTGGAGTCTAGGTTGTAGCTGCTGCAATGGGAAACACCTGTGTGGCTGGGCTTTTACAGGCTGATCTGTGGGGAGGGTCCATATGCTAGAAATGCTAGTTGGGTTTGTTTAACTTGAAGAAGACTACAGCAGCAGAGGATAGTTAATATAATTGAGAATCCCCACCAATACACCTCCAAGTTTATCTAAGTTTTTACTACAAGCTCAGTTTGCAAGAGGGGACTGGGATACTGCTTCCTCCACCTCTGGCTGTCAGCCTACAGGTACGCTGTCAGCGGTAAATGTTTGCTGGGGAGCACTGTTGTACTCACAGTATGTAGTGGACAGCTGTTTTTGTTTAAAAGAGGTGAATGAGGGACTTGCTTTCCCTGCTACAATATAGAGATTTATAAAAGTATTTACTAGCAGAGCCTTGAGGTCATTACAGATTGTAAATAAGATTCTTTAAGGTTTGCTCTGAAAAAAATATCAAAGTTGCAAGTTCGTTTACTGTATGTATGAGGCAAAAGAAGGTGAAATCAATGGCTGGGATTCCCACAGCAGGCTCTGCTCAAGGCTTCCTGAAGCATCTTTCTTTCTCGCTTAAAGTTGTAAAGAAGAGGAGCTTTTTAGCTTGTGGTTCCTGCCTTGTAGCTTCACTTTGTGATTTTTGTTTGAAAGAGGGCTTTAATGCAAAAGCATGTCATTAATGCATGGAGACTCTGTGTTAGCTACCTCCTCTCTTGGGATGGCTGCTTGCTGCTCCTGGCTCAGAACTGGAGAGGATTTGTGTGACACAGGGCTTGCAGAAGGAAAGCTGGGTGGGCTCCAGCAGGGCTGCAGCACTGTCTGGATGGGATCCTGCTCTGTATAGCCCCACAGAGGAGCAACCATTCATCAGACTTCATTGATTTGTGGAGAGTCCCTGGGAATGCAGACTGGCTTGTTTTGAGGTAGATATTTGTCCAACAAGGGTATTTTTTTGCAACTTTGTTCTGCTGCTACAGGCAGTCTTCTGTGTCCATGCCTCTTATTTGGAAAAGTGTTCGTTCTGAATTCTGTGAAGTTACACATATTTGAGTACCTGACCTACTAATACTGTGGATGAGCAGTAATGACTACATGTACAACTTTTTGCTAAACTTGATTATTCTTAAAAAGCTTCTCTGTGCATTAGGATCCATACACAAAGGATTATTTCCTTGCAGATCTGGAGCCATTCTGAGCAGCTTATTCATGGATGCAATTAGAACGCTTGTCTGACTTGTCACTAGAGTTAATGGTAAATCAAATAAATATTCAGTGTCTTCCTATAGTTACTATTGGTGTTTTGTTGAATTATTTTCATCTTGGGTCTGACAGTTTTATTATGCTGATATTCTGAAAACTTTTGCATAATCATAATAATTTGTGTGGTGAATGCTTGTGAATTCACCAGGCTCACTGGATGCAAGCTAAGGCTGAGAAGGACAGGGTTCTGTCCTCTCCCTTCATTTTGCAAGGTGTGTTCTTTCTTTCCTTCAGATTCATATCGTGGTCCAGGGACTGCAAACGGGCTCTTCAGGGCTTGTGCAGCAATAGCTCTGTGTGAGTTGTATTACATGTCTGTCAAGGCTTATGATATAAATATTTGGCTTGTATCAAAATGGAATATGCTGAAGAAGAGTTTGCTGTAACGATTGTTTGGGGTCTTTGCTATTGAGCAAGAAAAGAGTTTTCCTTTGCTCCATGTGGATTGTTCCTTGTGCTGCCCGTGTGATTCCAAGGCCACTACGATAGAAAATGCAGCCAATGTTTAAAGCCTGGTGGAGTCTTGGTTCCCTTTCCCAGAAGTAATGGGCTTGATTTTTAGAAGTGACTTCAGACTATTCTACATGTTCCCTTTCTTGTGCTGCTGAGCACAGCCATACTAAGGTTTTTCTGTGAGGTCAGTGCGTTACACTGAGGTTTGTGTGGTGTGTCCTGTGGTTAATACTGCTCTTGGGAGCTGAAAGGGAGGGGGAACGAAAGCTGATTTGTCTGTCTCTTTAGCCAGGCAACCATATGTGCATCTGTTCAAGTGTGTGCTGGCAATACTAATCAAAGTGCTGCTGGCACAGCACTGCTCAACAAGCCCTCCGTTTTCCTGTAGCAGCCAATTATTTTGCTGATTGCCACATAGTCTGCTACAGACCACTGCCCTCTAAATATTTATTTGACTCTGGCAACCAGAGTGCAGGGGCTGCAGTTTGTCCTGTCTCAGTCCCACAGCAAGTCCAAAAGGCAACTAGTGAAAGAGTGAAGGGAACGCCTAGAGGGATGAGCAAATCTCATGCCAGTGCTAACTTCTTTAACCATATTAGTTCCACAAGTAGAGGATGTGTGAACTCCTTTGTCCTGGCTCCCCGTGGAGACTCCTTAGTGGAACATAAGTGCTAGCTAGAGGGTGGGAACAAGTTGCACATCACCTTGCCCTTCAGGCAAAAGGAGCCTCATTAGCCTCAGCTCCAATGTCAAAGCCCTGTGCTAGGCTAGCCTGTGTGCTGTCCTCCTGTTCTACATATTAACACACTCAGAAGGAGGAAATTCTTGTCTGCATCTCTCACGTTATCTTTCTTGTCTGACTGCCTCTGTGCCTCTCCCTCCCCCCTTTCTGCAGAAATAAATCAAAGGCCAAGATGTCTTCATGCAGCACAGGCATCACAGCAAGGCTTGGTTTGTGCAGCCTCCCAGGGCCAGTGCCTGGCATGCTGCTGCTTGCCAGAATAAACGAATGTAATTACCTGTGTTAATATTCAGCCCATGAAGTCATCGGCATTTGTATTTATTCATTTATATAAATGAAACAAGCTTCCCAGGGCACTGCTGCCATTGTGTTCCTTCCTCAGATACCCATTTGCCATTTAGCATGCACACACTTCACTCAATTATGATAGGCTAATTGATTAAAGGAAATAACATGATTAATTGACAGTTGTAGATATCACTTGGATTCAGAGTATGCACATAAAAACGACAAGTGATTCACTTGTAATTCAATTTTTACCTCGGAAAAAGGGTTCATTTACTAAATGTGGGGGTTTTGAGCACTTTATTGGAACAGTTCAATGGAAAAACAAAACAACAAAAAAGAAACGGGGAAAGAGCTTCATAAATCAATGAGAGGCACTGAAAATCAAAGCAACAGCACTGACTGAACTACAGTATCTTCTGTGTGCACTTCTCTTGGCCTCTGATGCACACCCTGAACTAGGCAGTTCCTTCTCAACTGATCCGTTAGCTTTGACTGCGAAAGATTTATAGTTCTGGTCAGAGAGAGTTGAGAATACTGTCAGATTCTTGCATCAGCTCTTCCCATCCATATACACAACCACATTGCAACCCTGTGCTGCAACGCTCAGGTTGCAGTAGTGCTCAGCAACCTGGAAAAAGGTGTAGGGCAAGAAAGCAGAGCACCAGGACTCCTGCAAGGTGCTAACAAACACCAGGTGATCCTTGAGCCACACAAGCTGTGAGTGAGGCAGGTAAAGTCCTTCCAGGGTGGACTCAACATTTAATGGGACCTGAGAGTTCAGACAGGGCTCTGAGTACTGTTAGGATGCAAGAAACATGAAGCTGTTCTTTCCCCTTCAGTCCCTGAAGCTATGCACTAGATTTGAAGGTCCTTCATGAGGAAATAAGGACTCTTGGAAGACATTCATAGAAGATCTCAGAGGACTGGGTCACTGTGTTGAAACTCAAAAGCAGAATTTGGTTACCCTAGTGCCAGATGTTGTTGATCAGCCCTGCTGCAATGTCCAGTACTAAAAATATAC